ATATATATATATATATATATATATATATATATATATATACTTAATCAGTAAATAGACTCAAAACGAAACTATTACCACACATTGTATCACGTGATATTTGTATGCATATGTATGGGCAAGAGGGAATTCGCAACAAAAACGAATGTAGATAACACTAATAGTTAGTGAGATTAATTTTGAGTGTAGATGCTTACGACAATAAAAGTAACACGGCTGTCTCAATGTCTTACTGATAAACCTTCAGTATAAACTAAAATGATCAAATTTACAAAATCAAATTCAGAATTTTCATTGTTAATAATTACAGTTGAAACACTGAACCCCCTCCCTTTCGATTATGTATGTACAGGCCTAAGACTAACGTTATACACGACCAATCGAGTCTAGGAAATACGGAAGACCTAGCTACCATGAGAAATGCAGGAAAATCCATGAATTAAACTGCACATAATAATGACAACTGAAACAAAATAACAACAAATAAAATAAGGCTAGCTTTGCCTCTCTCCAGGTCAATATAAACTACGAGTATAAACAACAATACATATCAGTGGTGTGTGGGTGTGTACATATGCAGCACTCAGGCACTATGTACATATTATGGTATAATAGTATGTGTGAGAGTTCCAATGCACGTGTAGTCTTACTACAGGCTGTACATTATGGGCAGGCCAAGCTGGTTATGATGAAAACATTGAACATGATTGGCTAAGATCACTGTTCAGTTTAAAAGTTTTACAGGTTACTGACTCTTTGTTTCCTTAAGATACTATGTAACATTAGCATGGTTTGGGCTTATTTTATCAAATGTAACAAAACTTCCCAGGCATCACAAATTAGTTGAATAAAGGTGCAAAATTGTTGACTAAACATTAATTGTACTTTTTTTTTGGAAATAAATAATTAATAAATACATCAAAATTTCATGTAATTGGGTCTTTTTTTAGAGTCTTTGTACATTAATATTGTTGTAATTGGATCTTTTTTTTAGGGTCAATGTATTTTTTTTGGACAATCAATACAGCCTCCCAGACAACCTGGAAATTTCTTTAACATTTAAGCCCTGACTAACATTCAAACAAAACCTCTCTAGGAAATCATATCTTTACCTTTTAACCACCCAGCATCCCTGAACTAGTACTGCCACCTGTTGAAGAGATCTAAGTACAACAAGAGGATCCACACCGAAAGGAAGAAGTTCAAGTAGGCTGGAGAACTGGATAACTTTAGCTGAAAAACAAACAAACAAACAAAAATATTGGTGACTTAGTCCACATAGAGATGAGTTCTTTGTCATCATCATTGTCTTCAGTTACAGCTAGCACTAATATTGGTATTTCTACAAATGTTTTTCAGTTGTTTATATACAGTTTGAATTTTATCCTCACATTGTCTTCAGTTACAGCTAGCACTAATATTGGTATTTCTACAAATGTTTATCAGTTGTTTATATACAGTTTGTATTTTATCCTCACATTGTCTTCAGTTGTAGCTAGCACTAATATTGGTATTTCTACAAATGTTTATCAGTTGTTTATATACAGATTGAATTTTATCCTCACATTGTCTTCAGTTGCAGCTATACTCACACTTAACTCAAGTATGTTCAGCCTTAGTGAAGCTTTATAACAGTATTGTAAGTTCTTCTGTATGATAGTAAAGTTAATTCAAGTAAAATGATAGTAATAAAAAATGAATACTTGGTGTTAAAACTAAGTTAAATAAATAATATTGTGTTATTAATATTAACCATAAAAAATCTGATTTGTGAATGACTTAAATAAAATTGATAATAATTAACAATTCACTTAATTCTAGTTCTCATCATAACAGTTGTTCATTAAATGATGGTATAAACATCAACTTGACCACTACTACATCTGTTGTATCACAAATGACCTGTGGAACCCTAGTATTAAGTGAAAGGTCTTGTTGGCACTGGATATGACAGATGTACAGTAGTTGACATCTTCTTTACTTTCACTCCCAAGTTCTTAAAATTACTTAATACCATAATGCATTTCCTTTATTAGAACTATTTTTTTCAAGTAAAAACAGGTAAAAGGTTTTTGAAACATTGTCCAGTCTACTTGTGGTACCTCTGTAGATCGTATTCCTCCAAGATTATTTCTACAATTATTGCCACGAATCAAGCAGTGATCACCTACATTTCCTTCATCAGAAATGCATTATCTAAACCTTCTATAAAAACAGTCAATCTATTAAATATACTATGATGGTGGATATCTCATACAATCTATTAAATATAATAAATGGTGGACATCTAAAACAATCTATTAAATATACTATGATGGTGGATATCTCATACAATCTATTAAATATACTATTATGATGGATATCTAATACAATCTATTAAATATACTATGATGGTGGATATCTAATACAATCTATTAAATATAATAGATGGTGGATATCTAATGCAATCTATTAAATATACTATGATGATGGATATCTAAAACAATCTATTAAATATAATAGATGGTGGATATATAATAAAATATATCATATATAATAGATGGTGGATATCTAATACAATCTATTAAATATAATAGATGGTGGATATCTAATACAATCTATTAAATATACTATGATGATGGATATCTAATACAATCTATTAAATATAAAAGATAGTGGATATCTAATACAATCTATTAAATATACTATGATGGTGGATATCTAAAACAATCTATTAACCCTATCGCAGGCTTGTGTATTTTACATAACATTGTAACCACCATGCAACCACGGTGGTATACATACTATGACTTTAAAAGTACTTCATGTATCTTAATGAAATTTGGCAAACTTTCAGTAAACATGAAAAGTCTTTTGTCAACAAAAAAAAATCAGAATTTTTAATTAAGTATTTTTACTAAAACTTTGTCCATAATTATATGGTGTCAGAGTGTTGATTGCTCCTAGTGGAAAGTAATGTTCATGTTAAGATTAAAGATACTTTTGTACATCTGAAAATTTTCAAATATTTCCATAATCCCTGAAACCTCCTAAATAAATAACAAATGTTTTTTTTCAGAAAAACTTTATATTTATAACTTATTTTTATAATATAATTCTATACAGGGTCAGTCAATGTTGGCCCAACCTTATAACCACAAAAAATTAGAAAATTATTCTAAGTTACCCTTTTTTCTTTTCTGGAATGACTGCAAACTGTAACAGGAAACCATAATTGTTTATTCTAAATTGCTTAAAGCTTGTAACAGTATACATCTATTTATACTTAATTTTATTGTTTAATTGTCCTTTGACCAGTGTCTAACTAATGAATAATCCTGCCACTCAAGATGTAATCCACTCAGTGAACATGTATCTCACGTTACCCTATCGAATTATATAAAGCACAGGCTACTCGCGAGCATACCTTGTGAAGAACTTTAATTATTATTATTCATTATATTTTATCTAATCTAACCTAACAAGTTTCTAATTTTGATGTTTTAGTTACTTCTATAATAATAAATAAAGAATACACAGGAAAAACAAAAAATATATTATTTACCTGGGTCTTCTTTTTCTTTGCTGTCAACTGTCGAGGAAACTTAAGCCTACTCTTTTATATTAATGATAATACCACACCCAATAATTTTTTATCTAATTAAATAATACACTTAAGAACACATAATAATAATAACATGTAAAAAGCAGACAATGTCATATAGTTATAATAATTTTTCTGGCTTTCTGACAATGCAATAAGAGCTGTTAAAAGATTCAGCTAAGCTCTTTGATGCGTTTCCTATAGAAGTAAGTTTGAACTGGAAGAGAAATTAACATTTTATCTGTACAGAAAACAATGTAATAGAATATCTCATTTGATAGATGAAAACCTTGGCTTGGCTTTCTATTGGTTAAAATTATATAATATTAAACAAAGAAGAGAGAACTATTGACAAATCTTGACAGAGAGAATTTGATGAGTGGGTGTGGAAAGAATGGTCTGATTTTCTAGTTTATTGAAGGCTATAAAAATTATGCTTTGCCTGAGTAATAACGATATTATAATGAGTAATTTGCATTAAATTCTGTACTTCTTGGAGAGGTGGTAAATAAATTAGAGAAGAGAGGAGACCTAGAGAGCAAATGTCACAATTCTCATATTTCCTTATAAAATTAAGAACTTAAAACTTAAATAATATTAATATTTGATTTAGTAGTTATGTCTTGATGCCATGTGTATTTCTATACACTGATAATAAAGTAGTTTAATTAAATTTTGAACATAACTCTGTAAAAGGTTGTAACATGCACACTTTGACTTGCTCATAGCAAGAGGGTTAAATATACTATGATGGTGGATATCTAATACAACATATTAAAAGTACTATGATGGGGGGAACCTAATACAATCTATCAATCTTGATATACCACATGGATGTTATTTGCAATTTAACAGAAAAACTGTGCTCCTTATTTACAGTTGTTTAAGAGAATTTTAAAGTTCTTCCTAAACTATGTATTGTTTTTAATAATGTCTCACCTGCCACTGCAAGATGTTTAACCTGGTCAGGAAGTGGAGAGTTCCTCAGCATGGCACGAGAACCTTGAGACATGCTGCTGCTGGAAGGAAACATTTTCAAACATCAAAAAATTTCATAATTGATTTTAATCTTACTATATATACGATATAATAAATTGATCATTTTTTGCCAGCTTACGTTCTAGTAGTTTTTATATATGGTAAATATTTTACTACTTTAGTTACTTAGAGTTCTCAATTCAAAAATGTCTAATAAAATGTTTCATTTAGATAATTTGTAACTTTCTATTGGGAATTGTAAGTTATTTTAATCTAAAATCCAGACTTTTTAGAAACAATATTGAAAAAAAATGAAATACTAAAAAATAATACTCCCAACAAACTTCAAAGTGAAATATACCCATTATGTTTCCCTTTTTTAGTGTGTGTTGCCAGACGTACTTCCCAATATAGGACTACAAAGTTCTTATTTTATAGCCAATCAACATCAATACATAGTCACAATGCAATTACATTAGTGAAAATGTGATAAAAATATAACGTAAACATCAATGTATTTGATAGCATTGCAGAGTTTGGTTGGCAAAAAATAGTAAATACACATAAACACCATCATTTACTGAGAAAGTTTAGATTAAGGGAAGTTACAATTGTTTTAAAACAAAATATATCAATTTTTATAGTTTTATATTTCCCTAACAATTAATGAAAGCACACCAGAACAAGACTTGCTTATCATCAACAAAGAACATATCATTAAAACTGACACAGAATCAGAATATGTCAACAACTTTACACGAGAGAAGCCAAGAAACATCTCTGTGTTTGTTGAAATAATACAGTCGTGCTTCAAAACAATACAGAATTTTTAATTATATAAATATAAATTACTTTAACTCTTACAAGTTATGGGCACATATAAATATGTCTGTCTCTAAAACATAGTCACAAGCACTGATGCAGGACATAAAATTTAATCTCTATTTTAGCTTTGGAAAGTGTACTATTGAGTAAATGTAATGAGGCATTGATATGCAATATTAATTATTTTACTTGATATGTGAGAACAAAATCACCTGTGAAATATTTATTTCAGGCAATTATCTTTAAAATAATATCATGTTGATATCATAAATAATTAGCTTCGATAACTAGTTATACATCACAAATCTGTTTCAATGTGCATTTAAAAATAAACTTAGGACTTAAAGTTGTTATTTATCAATAAGTCTAGCAGTGAAATATTTAATAAATTTGGTTTCTGTGTATGTAGCAAATACAACAACCAGAATATTGAAATATTTGCAAAAGCTTGATGAGACCTTTTGGTTGTGTTTCTACTTGCTATTTATTATCATTTACATAGTCTACACCCTTTCCTTGGTATAATCGAGTTGCCTTGTTTAATGTGAGTCAGAATGTGGTTTGTTTTCAATATATACATCTTACATGCAACTGCTCTACAAATTCAGGCTATTATTAAGCTTGGATGGGTAGCTTCAATTTTTAAAACATAAAATCTCTTAATAGAAAAATTAGTTTCATATCTTAAAGTTTTAAATTCTTCTCTCTCTCAGTTTCTTTTATGGCTTCACAAGTTTTTAATTCTCCCCCAACCATTTCCTTTATGACTTCCCAAGTTATTAATTCTCCCCCAACTATTTATTTTATGGCTTCACAAGTTTTTAATTCTCCCCCATCTATTTCTTTTATGACTTCACAAGTTTTTAATTCTCCCCCAACTATTTATTTTATGGCTTCACAAGTTTTTAATTCTCCCCCAACCATTTCCTTTAGGTCTTCACAAGTTTTTAATTCTTCCCCAACTATTTATTTTATGGCTTCACAAGTTTTTAATTCTCCCCCAACTATTTATTTTATGGCTTCACAAGTTAGTAATTCTCCCACCAACTATTTCTTTTATGACTTCACAAGTTTTTAATTCTCCCCCAACTATTTATTTTATGGCTTCACAAGTTTTTAATTCTCCCCCAACTATTTATTTTATGATTTACAAGTTTTTGTTTACTGTTAAGTACAAAGCTGTACAATGGAGTATCTGTTCTCTGCCCACCTTGGGTATCAAAACTCACTTTTTAGTGTTTTAGTTCTCAGACTTATTACTCACAAGTTTTTAATCCTCCCCTAATATTTGTTCAGCTCAACAAGTACCTCCTACATATATTCGCCCTATTGTATTTAAAATGAAATCTTTATTTTTAATTATTGCACTGTCAAGCTAATTAAGTTTTGATCAGTGACTTATTAATATCCCTTCCATTTTCTGTCCTCAGTAATAATTATGCTAAGTGTATAATAGATCACTGGTTCCTTAAGTTTATTTTCTCGACAAATAATGAAGATAATAGAGTTATCCTACGTCAGTGCTCTAGTCTGTCACTTTACAAATCACCCATGATAAACGTTTTAAATGTGGAGCTTTTGTAAAAGGGTTCACTAACACTAATAGCTTGAAATATGATTTTAATAGTTAGGTTGATTATCTGCATAATATTTACATTCCTGTAGTAGTATCTTCAGGCCACTTCAACCTTCCAAAATTATAAAGGTAAAATATTGTGACAGGAATTCAATTAAAAACCTTAAATGTTCCTGTTACTTAAAACTAGACTCAATAAAATACCATGAAGTTGCTTTGATCTGAGGGGAATACGAGATGCATTAATGGTTAGCACTTATAAAAAATTAATCACTGTTCTTGTAGATAGTTAAGTTATAAAAAAAAACTTTGAGAAAATTAAAATGTCTAAAACAGCCTAAACATTACAACAGATTTTAAAATAGAAATCAATTTTCTGAAAATTAACAACATCCAGATTGTTAAAATCTATCACCATATTACATCACAGCTTGTAATTACAATATAACACTTAAAACTAAAACAGTCTGTGGAAATAATGTCAACTGAATAATCAGAGCAGAAGTTAATACTTTCTACTCAGGAATTATAAAACAAGTTGGAACTTTAGCGACTAAAACCATATTTTTCAGCACTAACTTCTTCTCCTTTAACAGAGGAAGGAGGATCTTGAGATATTCATCAGGAGTTCCTGGCAAGCTTGATACATCTTGGTCCATCTGAGGACACTGCAGCATCATAGCTTCAATACCAGACAGGTCACTCTGTAAAATATGTACACTATCAGTGAAAAGGTTGGTTCACATTATCAACACACAGGAAAGTGTGTATATGGTCAGTGAAAAGGTTGGTTCACACTAACAACACAGTAAAGTGTGTATATGGTCAGTGAAAAGGTTGGTTCACACTAACAACACAGTAAAGTGTGTACACTATCAGTGAAAAGGTTGGTTCACACTAACAACACACAGGAAAGTGTGTATATGGTCAGTGAAAAGGTTGGTTCACACTAACAACACTGTAAAGTGTGTATACGGTCTGTGAAAAGGTTGGTTCACACTATCAACACAAAGTAAAGGGTGTATATGGTCAGTGAATAGGTTGGTTCACACTAATAATACACAGTAAAGTGTGTATACGGTCAGTGAAAAGGTTGGTTCACACTAACAACACAGCAAAGTATGTACACAGTCAGTGAAAAGGTTGGTTCACTAATAATACACAAGGCTGTAGCGACTACATAGGGATGACATCAAGAAACTGTTAATCTAATTTCCATGGCATTACTATAAAGGAAGCTATTAACACTATTTTAGAGAGGAAAATCTACCACTATATATTTTAAAGAACCTGATTGGTTCTATAAAGTATAGGTTAGTTCCAAGTAATAGGGTTGCGATCCTAAAGCTGATGTGAGTTACTATCGAGTGTCACTTTCTTACTTGCTATGGTTTGTTAGTGTGTATTGATAAAAAGTGATTATACCTAATCAAAAAAATCTGTGTCTGAAAAAAGATTGAGTATGCAACTTAAAGGAATTAAATCAAAATTGTTGGCAAAAATGTAAGCTACACTTATAGCATTACTAAGAATTTTACAGCAAATATTCATTCGTTCGTTAACTAGGCCACATTTTTTGTTCAACTTGGGGCATGATGGTGGGTAAAACAAAATACATGGCCTAGCTAACTAATGAATGAATATTTGCTGTAAAATTCTTATCTTATGTAAAAATCGTATCAAGTTACTGGAATAAAATCAAACAAGTATTTGTTGCTTCATTTTAAAAAATATTGAACACTTTTTTCTTCAAATTTTAGACCAATAACACAAAATAAGAAATCTGATATAAAGAGAGATTATTTTATTATTTTGTTTATAAAAATTGTTTTACAACGAACTTTCATATGATTTTGAAGCTAAGAAGTTATACAAATACTAAATATAATATACATAAAAACTACAGTTTCATGCAATCTGAATCTTAGAATGGCCATGTAACCCAAAGACTGGAGTCTCTTGAATCAACAGACTCAGTTCTCAGATGTTTAAGTCTCAGACTAAAACCTTTCCCTAAAATCAGAGCACCAGAACAACTAAAATCTTACCTTTTATTTATTTTTTTACCTGTTATATTTAAGTGTGAATTACATCAAGGAAACTTTATTTCAATTTCAATCTTAAAATATTACCTACCCCCAAGTTATGGAAATTAACATTAGTCCAGGGTTCACTGGCCATCTGTTGTTGATGATAATTATAGGATCGTTCTCTTGCTTGCTTGGTCTTCTCCGTTTCGATCCCAGCGAACCGAACTGTTACTGCTTTTGCTTCTTCTTCTTCATCTTGAGAACCTTCATCTAAAGTGATTAATAAGATAAATCACAGAAAGGAACATCTTGTGATTTAGGAGGGTTTCAATGAAACCACTTCTTGAAGAAAAGGACTACGCAAGATAAAACCTCACTATCTAGCAGAGACAACACAAGGAACCATATCACAACAGGTCTGCCATAAGATCTGATAAATCTACTTTGATCTATTCATTACTGTCACAATGACTGTTTTTTTTTTTACTTTATTTACAATTCATTTAAAAAGTAAGCTGTAATCAGGAACTGAAGACACTTGTTTTGTAGCATCGCCAAACTCTCATTAGCTACTAATGGTTCTTTTCCAATCTCAATTAAGTTTCAGGCACTTGTTTTGTAGCATCATCAAACTCTCATTAGCTACTAATGGTTCTTTTCCAATCTCAAGTTTCAGGCACTTATTTTGTAGTAGCTAATGAGAGTTTGATGATGCTATTGGTTCTTTTCAATCTCATCAAGTTTCAGGCACTTGTTTTGTAGCATCATCAAACTCTCATTAGCTACTAATGGTTCTTTTCCAATCTCATCAAGTTTCAGGCACTTGTTTTGTAGCATCATCAAACTCTCATTAGCTACTAATGGTTCCTTTCCAATCTCATCAAGTTTCAGGCACTTGTTTTGTAGCATCATCAAACTCTCATTAGCTA